TTGCATTGAGAACTTCTGGCGGAGTCGTCATACTGCAGGATTTCCATTCCCCAAGATGGGAAAGTCAAACCATGTGGATCTTGACAAGAATGCAGATGTTTTTGAGCCAGGACACGTCCTGCTGTGGAAGGAATTTTTCTCCAAAATACGACCCTCTAAGAGTTGGCCAATCTAGAGGGGGGGCCTCCCCTTCCCCACCCCCCTTCGCGAACCCCATTTTACCTCGCTACCACCTTCATGAGTTTTCTCCACTTCTTGCCACTTTTCCCCAGGAAAAGTGCCGTAGGGCGGAAGGTTTATAGACCGTCAATAGCCCAAAATATTTCGCGATCAAATACAACCCCCGTTGGGATCCCAGTGCATAACGTGTCCCGATTTGAGCTAGAAAATTAAAGAAGGGTGAAATTTTTTTTCACAAAGAAGCTCACCTTTGTCGGAGACATCGCTATCAAATAGGAGTGAAACGAAAGGCGAGAGAATTCTGCAGTCAAATCTTCGGGAAACTTAAAGAAAACACAGTTGTAAATGGAGTCGAGTGGTGAAAAAAACCGTTAAAATCACAAATTCAAGTAAAAATTGGTTGATTACCTTCAAGGTAGCCATCAATTCCGATAAAAATTGAGGTGAGCATGACTTGTCAAGAATAGGCGAGAGCACTTCTCCGCGTTGTGGGATCTTACAATGATCATTATGAAGGATGTTACACTTTCATAGAGAAAGGGAGAGTTTCAACTTACATCAATCATACTCAAAACTTTGGAAATAGCGAAGTAGATCTTCTCTTCTTTCCACTGAATAATGACCTTCTTCAAGCAAGGAATCAACTCTTCTCCCAAACTCTCCGAAATCATTGGCCAGTCGTCAGGCCGGAACCCAGCAAGGATAAAAGGAGTAAGCTGTGAGGACATCAGCTGAAAGCGCTATTCCTTTGCATCAGATCACCACACCAAGAAGAAAATGACGGAAATTTTGGCGTAGATCCGCAAGGTGTGGGCATTTTTCTAGTTCCCATGGATCACTATCGATGGCTCCCATCGAGACCTGCATATTCCTGCAGGTTACGCACTAACAGAGGCTTCCTTCACACTTGACAAGAGTTCCAGATCTTACCAAAGAGGACGTGTAGTTCAGCAATAATAGCAAATGTGTTTAATGCCCTTCCGAACCGAACACCGCCGAAATTCAACAGTAATGACAAGAATGCTGAGTTTTAGGCAAAAGTCGTGCTTCAGGGGGAGTCGAACCCGCACCTCACGCTTTTCGGGCGAGTGCGCTATCCGTTAGCCATCTCTTAGTTCAACGGCTTTTATGCCGTAGCCTATCAGCAGTTACACGTTTACTTGGTGAGCGGCGTTCATACTTCGCGACAGCATCGGTGAGCGGCGACCTCGGCGACCGCCGCGATCGTCGGTACGTGGAAGAGCGCGCCAACGCTATTATGTGGACCGCTCGCTTGATAAATAAGGGAATCCAACTTGTGAGACCTTCTTTTCTCTTAATAATGGCTACTAACTGATAACTTACGACTTTCTATACATAAGCGGATCTGGAATATGAGGTAAGGAGGTTTCACTTCTTTTTAGGTCGGGATAAGGCCAACTCATACCCTGAGTGAGCTTCTTTGTTTTTTATTGTTTTCAATTTATGCAAGCGCCTTAAAATTCCTATCGTCTGAACTGTTCCAACTTCCAAAACATTTATAGTTACAAGTCGAGTTCAAACAACGAAGAAAAAAGGAAACAGAAGAAACTCACCTAGGAAAACACTAATCATTTACGCAACATCAACAGGTGAAAACTTTATAACCTATAAGCTCGACGAATGAAAAAGAAACAATAAAAACCTACCCTAAATGAAGCTCTCACGCTTTTTGCTCATTTCTATCCTGAATCAAGAAAGAAAATAGAAAACAAAAGCCATTAAGTGGGTTCACCTTTCTTTGTGTCAAACCAAGCTTCAGTACCTAAGAAAATTGCAGTTAAAGGAAAAAAGCATGAAATTGAGTCGCTTCTCCCTAAAAGCCTTCGGAGCGGTCCAAGTAATAGCGTTGGGGCGCGCTCTGCCATGTACCGACGATCGCGGCGATCGCCGATCGCCGCTGCTGTCGCGAAGTATGAACGCTGCCTTAGGCCTCGCGGTTCAGCCGATATCTAATGATTCAACGGTTGACAGGCTCACCAAGTTAAACGTGTGAGTGCTGATAGGCAACGGCATAAAAGCCGTTGAACTAAGTGGTGGCGTAACGGATAGCGCACTCGCCCGGAAAGCGTGAGGTGCGGGTTCGACTCCCGCCTGGGGCACGACTTTTGCCCACAACTCAGCATTCTTGTGATAACTTTCGAACGCGAACTGCGGCGTAAAACAGCAGTTATCATAATATAAAACCTCAAACAGTAATAATTAATAAAAAAGTCCAAGGAACTCACGTCACACTCGTCGATTCTAAGTGGATTAATCCGTAGTATCCGTAGCACCACTTGGGCATATAGTGTGGAGGGCTCTGGATCCTTACTGAGAGAAGAAATGAGGGACACATTCTGCAATAGTTTGTTCATAACCTTTGTACCTTTTTTTCACCGCAAATTACTACTTTAAGTTGAAGACATAATCAATGAGATGCGATCGAAAACGCCCCAGTTTAGGCCCGGTTGATTTTCAGCAGCGAAACATGGGGCGAACAGTGACGCAGAGACGCTCAGCGAAAGACCAAGAAAAAAACAAAAAAGCACACTGCGCACGAGAAGATAGCAGTGTTGTGAGGGCAGGAAGGCCCAAGGAGGTGTAGTTCGACTATGAATCAAGTCACATATCCCTGACGTTCTCACCACGCAGTTTCAGTGGACGATTAGGACCTGTGCGGCATCGCACCTGCTCGTGGTTTATTGGAAAAGGATACCGATCTTATAATCGTGAGATGTGTCGTTAAGTCATACTGTGTTCAAGCTATCAACCGCAGGGAAAACAG